ATCAACACTAAGAACAAGCGAAGCACATCTCCAGATCCAGATCCTTGCATCATTTCATTGAAACATTGCTCGTCGGCTTGTCCTTACTGCTCCTTCCCGGAAATCAGTCGCCTATTTGGCGAAGCTTAACAACACAAACGTAGGATGCCAGTAAGACAGCGGTGTCTGTTGAGCACTAGGGTTTCCTGGACACTATGGCGCTTTTAACAAACGACCAACGGCTAAAAGTCGTTAAAATATGTTGGGTTCGCATTCCGCTACCACCAGTGTGGTGTCCCGAGACTTCCTGGCCAGTATAAGAAGTCAGTAATGTCAGCTGGAAACATGTATTCTAAAGACGGGAGGGCAAGTGGGCCTGGACGTGGCTCGAAGGCCAGCCCACGTGCACAAGGACCAGACAAATCCTAAAGTGGTTGCCAAACGTCATGTGGTCGCATAAACAAAGCTTTACATAAGTAACTAAATTTGTCCTTCCCTACGCTTACTTAGTCGGCTTACACTCCTCGTTTGCGACTGTGGTCTGAAGAGTCACTCGAGCACACAGTGGTTAGGCGAATCTTAAAGTAGCCGCTAGAAATTATGTAGTCAACGAATAAAGTATTACGTCTTTCTTCGCGCTAACGATGTTATCAAAACAAATATCAGGAATATACCTTCGCCTTCAGCAGCTTCCCCTATGGTGCACTTTTATGTCTTTCTTATGCGACAACTTTATGTGTAGTGATTACTTTGATATTCGTCTTGCTAACGTATTTATAGGCTTACCTTCGAAAGAACCAAAATCTTTTCTTTTTTAAGAAATCAATTATTTTGCTCAGCATTATGCCTACTTCTGCTAAGCAAATGTTTAAGTGGTGCTGCCAGTCCAGTCACCTTTATTCTTCCTGCTCTGTTAGGGTGACCAGTACATGCGCTTAGTCTCGAGACAATCTAGCAGGTGAAAGAGAGCAATAGGTTGAGCTAAGGCATACATTGTATGGTGGAACGATGGTATTGGGTCTTGGGTTATTTCGAATGCCAAATCACAGACTAAACATTCGTTGACCGACAAATCAGAGTATCATTTTTAGACGTCCGATGATTTTGATGTATTAACGTAAAGATTTAGGCATGCCGGTGTAGCTCTTTGTTTTTGCCACCACTTGATGTCCAGCGGTCACTTTAAAATCTGTCGAATTTTATATGCGTTGACTGGTCTTCGGGCCCAGCTCTGGTCTAGTTATTTGGTCCACATTAGAATACGTGCATGCTATCTCTACTTACTACTTCGTCCACCCAGTAAGAAGTCTCGGAACGCTAAAACGTATGGATTCGAATTCTTTCCATCCAAGATTGCTGGAACCCATTCACTTCGCCGATTCTAAGGTTTAAACCGTGACACTGGGTAGACGAAAGAATAAATATGGCTTGATACATGTATTTTAAGTTGAACAAACTAATAAGGTCTGAGAACGGATTATAGGCCAGCTCTCGCATGCGAGATTCAGACAGACCTTAACGTGCCCGACTTACGTCAGATGGTCACATAATTAAGCATTACAAAATTTTTTCGCCTTTAACACCTTTAAATTTTTTATTGATGCAAGCATTTTAAAGATTTGGTTTTGGCGAAAGTACTCCTACAGAAGAACTGTTGTAAGCTGTTGTTGAGTCCTTTCATTTTTCTGTGTCAACCTTCGGAATCGTGAGCGCGTTTATCAACTTGCGCTCTCTTCTGCGGCTTTACGGTTTGTTTGCGCAGCACATGTCGACAGTTGCGGGAAGTCGTCAAAGGTATGTTATAGACCTTTCATCTCAGCGTATCAGAATGCTCGTTGCTAAGATTGTGCAAAACTGATCCTACTGAGGTTCCCACTTGTTAATCGGACTCTTACTCTTATCTTGCTCCAATACTGTTTTGTATTAGCTTTCTTCTGCCTCGTTGGCCTTAAAGTTGCATCGAATTTTATTTGGATTTTTTTTGAAGTTGGTAACATTGGTTAGAGGCATTTTATACGGCGCATTTTTCTTATTTTAATGTGATGCACTTCTTCATTGTGCTCTTGCTTGTTATTCCAGTTTGAAGGCAGAGCGCTGGACTATTCTATGCTTTATAGATCACTTAAAACGCAATGAAGGCATGGTGGGCGTTTACTTTGATGACGCTCCATCTGATAGTTAAGTGCCTTGCTGATGATCCAAAACTTGTTAATGAGTTCGTGATCGAAATTGCAGTTGAAGATAACGCACGGCAGATTATCGAAGCAATGGGGTTTGAATTCATTCGAAAGGTATGTTTTTTTAGGGTTGATTTTATCGCATAGATTCATGGATATAACTATACCTATCTGGCGAAGCTGCCCCCTAAATCTTTCGAGAATGCCACTGATTACCTTTCAAGAATAAAAAGGAATGCAGAAGTAGTTCTAATCGAACAGCAAAAACGGCTTACCAGAACTAAACGGGACTCATTTATATGGAATGATTTAAAATACCCAGATATGTGGTACCTGGTAAGTTAGTTTTAAGTAGTGTGTGAAACCTAATTTGAATCTGATAACCAGTGTAGTAGATGATCTTTCACCACTTTTTTGTAGTTTGCAAGGTCTCCTATTACCTAACTCTTTTTGTTTCCGAAGAATTTATTATGCTTCAATCATTTTTCATTCCAAGAATCGAGCGTCTAATAAGGACAGCGATGAGGTTGACTTGAACGTGAGGGAGGCATGGCAACTGGGATATTCTGGAAAAGGGGTTGTTGTGACCATTATGGATGACGGTTTGGATCACACTCATCCCGACCTCTCAGCAAATTATGTAATTTTCTTTTTTTTTCCGATTGTTTTAGTTTAATAGCTGCGGCAGAAAATATCTTTATTTAGCAATTGTAATGGTTTTTTGTTTTTAGCTTTAGTTTGTTATCTGCTGCTCTCCCAAATATTTTCCTCTAAACTGTTTTAAAACAAGTAGATATCGCTTATTTATAAATCAGTGGTCACTGGTTAAGTTGTTTCTCTGCCTGCGAACAAAAAGGACCTTAATACTTTCTCTTGCAGGCTGAACAGGCTAGTTGGGATGTGAATAATGGTGATCGAGATCCCATGCCAAACATTACGAATCCTGATAATAAGTGAGTGCAACTTTCATTTATTACAGCTTACCTGCATAGATGTTACGAAGAGCGGTTTCTATGTACTATTTTATACATTCGAACTAACAAAACCTAGTCAGGTCAATTGGCTGGGTTCGAATGCTAAAAAACTGCGTTCTCTCGGGAATATGTCGCAGAATTCAAGCTGCATGCTTCAAGTGTATACACTCATCTTTACTGTATCTTAGTTGTAAAGTTTCTTATTTTTTGGATCGGCAAATTTTGAGTCTGCTAGCATCGTCATTTTTACCGCGAGTTGTTATCAGAAAGTTAAATTCATTCCTAATGTTTATTGTCTTTATCTACCAATTAGAGAATGCTATTGTCAGATAGAGTTCTCTGAGTAAAGCCACATCATTCGGTAATTTCACTTGACTGACTTAGAAGTATGCATGCTCACCGAGGATGAATGTTAAAACTATCAAGCTAAGGCGCGCTATTTCTTTTTCGTGCGTATTTCACGTAGATACTTATCGAACATTCTTGGTACGTCCATCTTGCACCCTTGATATAATTTAGGCTCTACTCATCATCAGACAACATTTCCGAGTAATTGCAGTTGCATTTTTTCTACTCTAAACAAATGCTGGTGGTGATTTTAAGCGCCTTTTTATGTTCGTTCAAATTGTTTCGTGTTGCTTATGAAAAGAGAACACTGCACACACAGGCCTTCGTCACCTCCTGTGAAGATCTACTCTTGAAGTGGATTCATCTAATTTTCTTAAATTTGGCTTGCTTTTTGTGCATTTAGAATTCGGTTTCAGTCAGTTCAGTCACAACATATGTATTCATCGTGTCAAAATAGCTATCTTATTCTGCCACTTAAATATGCATTGAACGCATGACAAGCCAAATGTTGAACTAAATACTATGCTCGCTAAAGTATTTGACATTGACAATTTTACATGAATGCCGAAAAGTGCATGGGAACGGTTTGTGGCGTGTGGGCAGATGGCCATAGCGGTGTAAGAGGCAAGACCATACATAATTTGGTCGATGGTACGCTTGCGCTTTATCTTAGAGCACAATCACTTATCGGGTAAAGTAATTGCGGGAGATGTGGGCATCCACCTACCAACCAAAATGCTCCAATTTTCCAGAGGTAGTACAATTCTTGGCGTATCGGCCACAAATGAAAATCATGGGGTGGTTCCTCTAAACTAGAGCAAAATGACAGGTTAGCAATTCATTAAGTGGTGTGCATGATCATCTCTAAAATTGGCCGCAAAACCTGCTCAGGCTCCTTATATTTACACTACTCGGGCCGTGAGATACGGTCCCTTGTTGCTTGTAGTGATGCTCTAAGCAAATGTCTAAAAGAACTGTTCGTTCTTTGCTACAATGTATTTTTACAGGAGAACTTTTCCTTTGCATGATTACCGTTGGCACAGTCACCACAAACCTCTTGTTAATAGTGCACAAATTCATAGAAATATCCGCAAAGGTCGGGTAAACGAATTTATTTCCATCTCGTCCCTTTAGACATGGAACAAGGTGTGCAGGTCAAGTCGCCGCTGTGGGAAACAATTCAATATGCATTGTTGGGGTCGCTTTCAACGCCCTCATAGGTGGTAAGTTGTTTCGCCATCGGTCACTATTCTGTGTTTGGAAGTCTATAAATTTTTTGGCCTACAAGCGCCGTTCGAATGAAGCGGCCCTTGTTTGCGGTTTTCGAATTTGTGTAGCATCAGCAGCAACGTCGACATCCCAGCCATAGTTTATTTCCCTCCTTCCCTTCTCCGCGGATCGCAGATTCTTTTACTTGCATTGATTGGATCAAGGTTGGTAAAATGGTGCGTAACTGATGTCCGATTCTTATTTGGAAGTTATTGTCACTGCAGCATGCCGAAAAAACGCGAGTTGGGGAAAGTGTTGGTAATGAAATGCAAATTCTCCCATTTGCGCAGGTACTTATAAACACCACGCCTGGTCGAACACTTTAAATGGTTCACATAGATGTTTGCACTTCTAGGATGTTTTATTTATTCCAAAAGGCGCATTTACCAAAGCCTTAAGGAAGCTAAATTATCAAGTCTTAGGGATGCGCATGTACCACATCAAGCCGCACTAATACGTAATCCGGCAGTTCCATCAAAGTTTGTTGTCAGTCTCACCTATGCTTGACCAAATGCAGGTCAATTTTTAATGGCTATTCAAAGTATTTGTCGTATAAACCTTTAGCATCGAATCCCAGAGGACACTCCTCTGCCGTCCGTACGAATAAAGGCTAAGAAGTGTCGCATTGGTAATGGGCAATCGAAATTGTACTGTTAGAAAAAGGGATGCCTTTGTCTAAAGTGCACTTGGCAAGACTGAGCGAAGTGAGCTGCTTTGCGTGGTGTGAAAAAATGACTAGCTTGTCTTCTTGTTTGTTGATTTTGATTTGATTGGCAATTTCGACTGTTTGAATTACGCTTCGTGTTGGCGACTGTATGGTCTCAAGTTTTGTTGGTAAAATCTACCCTCCACTTTGCCAAGCAAGTAAAGAGAACTAAGTAATTTTTTTTAGTGAATGTTTTTATTCGTAAAAAAAGAAAACTTGTCCAGACGAACTGTCGAAATCTCTTCAAATGTGTTTTTCGTCGCATTGCGTGTGCTTCCATCCTTGGTCTGGATGATGAACGTTTGTGTGCACAAAATTGTAGTACCATTAGGTGATTTTTGGCTCTAGTTGTTGCAATTGAGTTTATGGCAGTAGCTCAGTCGTTGCTTAAGGTCTGTTGACGTTAAGACCTGTCTGAACTCACCTTACTCATTGGCATTAGCGTTTATATGCGATAGTTACGCCCTGCGGTCGCCTTGTCGCTGCCTTTTCAATAGATTCAAGTGTGTTTCCACCACCTCTATGCCTCCTCCCCTCCACTGATTTTCATCCTGAGACCTTACTACACCCACTCGCTTAAGTATTAGTGCTTTCTGAGGAAATTGTGTTAATACCACTGCACTGTGCAATCTCTTGACACCCTTGTTTATTATAACAATGAATCCATTACAATGAGGGCTTTACCGATGGAATTTTGCCAACAGTTTTTAGTTATCATCTCGGCAGCTATCTCAGATCGTAACACTTGGAGTTCATTTTAGTTCGTGAATAAGGTTCGATTATTTGGGGTGTTTCGCGCACAAATGATAGTCAGAATTCTGCATGACGCTCCTCTTCTAAGCGAATAAGTAGTTGCATATTCGCACAACCACAAGGTATTAGGGTTTGTCTGCACTCTAATCACCTTTGATAGACTGCTACCGGACCAGTACGCTTTACTGCCTCAGCAATTTGCTGAATCAAAGTTTACGTAAGCCAAGAGTTTCAAAATTGGTCCTGCACTTACCTTTTTGTTTCATCATTAGCTGGTCAAGTATTTTTATGTCAATCAAGCACTTGACGGCAAATATCTGCTTCAGTAAGGCTTCTCTTCCTAGTTGGCAGCTATCAGTCCGCACTTTACTTTGCCGCACATATAAACACAATTGTAAGCTGTACTCATCTTGGACAAAAAGTAAGACACCTACTTAATCTCCACATATCCACCGGGCTCTTAACTCCATTTTCTACACTTCCATTTAATGCTTCAAACGGACTTTTTAAATTAACAAATTTAAGTTCGTTATTTCCGCTTTTGCAAACATTGTTAAGGGATTTGATTATCGAGGCTTCATAACTTCTCACACGTGGTTTTCTGTTACCGCTACCCATTCTCTTTGCATCGGTTGTTGCAGCTTCCTAGTTACAATGAAGCGATTCGAAAAAGAAATCTGCATAATATCAGTCTTTCCCGCTCTACATTCTTTAGGCCTTTTTTGCTGTTGTTATAGGAATTCGAATGTTGGATGGAACCATAACGGATCGTGTAGAAGCAGAGTCGCTGAATTTTAACCAGAACTACATTGACATTTATTCAGGCAGTTGGGGACCTGATGACACTGGCCACATCTACGAGGGCCCTGGTCGAATGGCCTCCGAGGCCTTTCACAAGGGCGCCACCACGGTATGTGATAGCACAGCCATTAAACTGTATTCTACTTTGTTTACTGATTGAATCAGGTATTGCCCAAATTCTTTTAAGAAGAAGTACGATTCGAGCTTTACTATTCGGCTTCGCTCTGTTATTTACGTTTCATCATGATCTCCATAACTATTTCTGTGCCTTTCATGCTGTCTTCATGGGATTTTTTTTGTATTCAACTTTACCAGTCGAGTTACAAGGATACCAACAAACGGAACTTTTAAGCTCCAAAATATTTGTGGCTCCTATTGGATCACATGAATGAGCACGTAGCGGGAAGACGCGTACTATGGTGATGTAGCTGTCAAAACCATGCTAGATTTTTTTCTCCTAACGAACCCAAGGTGCTACTTTTGCTTTTTTCCCCACATAAAAATGTCAAACACTTGTAAATACGTCGCTCATTCAACGGTAAGATGTCCACTAGGCGTAGCAACAAGGCACTCTAAGGAAATACTTAAGCCATTTTACATGCAACACTAGAGGCGCTCCCTGACAAGTAGTTGGCTGATCAGAGGCAAATTCATGACTCCCAAAACAAGTCACGCTATTTTGAGCTAATGCTATTTAGACTTCGTGTTCTTGATTAATTCGGATTAAAATGAGTCAAAACAGTTGTCCAAGTCGGCTACACTAAAATGGCTTTCAAGCCTACTTCCAAAGGTGTGAAATGCCTCACCAAAGTACACTGCATCATAAGGAAATGTTTTGAGGATCAGCTGATGGAAATTGTACTTCATCGAACCATTTTCGACTCTGTTCACTTCATCAATGTACCAAATGCTGCTTGTGTGTCTAGAAATTCGCCCCATGTTGCGTATGATTCAATGCATCTATATACCTTCATGGTGAGAAGGCTAGTAACTTCGTGATCTTCATCTCACGTAATGTACAAACAATTATTTTAATGTGCAGGTGTATGCTTTTATCAGCCACAATCCGACTATGCTCTTACAGGACTCGCCTCAAATCGTGGTCCATAAGGCTAATTAGTTTGGTTATAACCTACTCTGCCCTAGGATTCCTCGGGCAAGATTTGTTCACTTTTTGAATACTTCCCCATGGGTCTATATTTGACGCGCAGGCAGTTTGATTCTCAAACCGGTGTTTTCACCTGTTTCAAACATATTTAATCGAACGAAAACTACAGTCTTGACTCCAGGTTTGGCGTCTAGACGAAGTGTATAATTGTAGTGGTTATATGCGGCCCTTCGACGTTATTTAGCCCAAATGTCACGCCCAAAATGGATGTCGCAGTACTGAGTTGCGGAATGTGATAAGAAAATAAGACGATTGGATTATTTAAAAAAACGAGTTACCATCTGTTCAAAGTCGGGCTCTTTGTGAAGGTATAACTCGTTATTTACCAATTCGTCCCCTTAAGTTTCGCAGATTTTCATGAATACTAACTTGATACTTTGCACCGGGTGTAACATCTCGATGTTAGCGGAGCTATTCTACATGAGTCCGCATGTTACACCGGCTGTGAGGTACCACCAGCTACTGGTTAGTCACCAACGTTAAAATCACATTTTTGGCTGAATGGAGTTACTCGTATGAGAGCATCTGCATCAACTCGCCACTTGAATGAGGTATTAAATCTTTTCTGTGTGAAATATAATCTTCAGACTTTGAAATGAAGTATTGTTAGGCATTAACGTTCAATTATAGTTTGATTTAAGACCGTTTAATTTCTATTTTACCCTACTCTCGAGAAAGTAGTCAAACTGATGATGCAATCTACTTGTCGTTCTCGGTAAGGCTGGAAGAGTGGTAGTACTGAAAAATGAAAATCTTAACCTCCCGTTGGCACGCCCTAAATAAGCCAAACATCGGTGACGGAAATGGAAGAAAGGCATGGTCAATGCTTGGCCAGTCGAGCAATCAGGTCATCGGCATTGCTCAGTAGAGCGTTTTCATTATTCTTTGTTGAGTCTTAGTTGGGTGGTGCAATTAAGGTGCAGGCATCATTTGTTGTCGGAAAAGGGAATAGTAACCAGAGTAGAATGCATAATCTCATCGCACGTTGTGGTGAGTGGGGAAACTTCGATTATATTGTTTTAAGTGCACCCATCACTAATATTGGAGTGACTCTTCTTGCGTGAGTGGAGTTGAGGCGGTATGAATTACGTCCAAGGCAGTTGAGTTGCCGGACGAAGGTCATCTCTCGCTTATTCGCCCATGCGTCTGCAGCCGCGTCTCGCACGTGCGCTCGGGCGCGCGCCATCCTTTGACGGGCGCTGAGTCAGCAAGTCGGTGCAATCGCCTTCACCCCGAAACGCGGGCAACGCAATAACGTGTCAGTAGATGGATGCTAATGTACTGGGGATAAACTTCAAACAATCCGAACATCTACTCTCTCCAACCAAGGGGCTGTCATTTTTCCTTTTCCCCCTCAGTACTCAAATTTTGTAATCATTCTGCATTCTTGTTACTAGTGCCCTGTTTTCATTTGTGTTCCACATTAGGGATAGATTTCCCTTTCCACGACAATTAATTAGGTTACCTACGGTTTAGTGAATTAATCTTCCAGTTGCTATGGCAATGTCTGTAATGAGTTCCAGCTATTTTCCTGCCCGCTTAACTGAGTTTGGCGGTAGTCAACATCGATGACAATATCATTCCATATTACAGCATCGTCTCTCGCTTTAGCGCGTCCCACAGATACAAGTAGCCCGACTTTCTTGTCGCCATCAAGGTGCAAAGGGAATATTTTAAAAACATGAGGCATTTAACCAGGGTTTCAATCAGGTTCGCTCATTTTTACTGAAGTTAACTTTGCCACATCGTTTTTCAAACCTCAGAACATTCTTTAAAGGCCACTTTATCACTTTTGCTCAGTCAACATCCAACACTATTTGCTATTGTTGTTGAGAGGAGATGTAAATATCAAGCAATTTCTTTTATGCAACGCAAATGATGCATCCTTCTTTGTGCGTCAAACGCTACCTGCATGGTTCCTCTGACGCTGTTCTGATGGTCTTATTGCAGGCGATTACCAAACTCTGCCCTTCGTGGCGGCGCTATTTTTGGCCGATATTTCACCACTTGCACAACTCTCACTTTTTTTGTGAGTATCTGATTCGGTTTCAGTGAAAACGCAGCACTAACTCCATGCGGTAAAATTTTAGGGCCGCAACGGTCTGGGAAACGTATTTGTGTGGGCATCAGGAAACGGAGGGCGAAGGGGTGACTCCTGTGCCGCTGATGGCTACGTGAGTAGTATCTACACTCTGGCAGTGAGCAGTGTTACCGAACATAACACGCAGCCCTGGTACTTGGAGAAATGTGCGGCTATACTGGTTTCCACGTACAGCAGTGGTGGTCCTGGCGAATCCGGGATAGTGAGTGTTTTACGACACCCTATTTTTTCTTTCATATTTTAACTTAACTACCGACGATTGTTTTAGAAAGAGTAAGTTTTTTTTGCTAGTGTCACAAATATTTATTTCACAGTTTTCACACCATTATCTTTGCTTTCCACCTTAGCATTTGCCTACAATATTTGACCTATAACACTCGAAGCTGTGTTTAGAATGGGGGAAAAGTACGCACTACTTTTTCCTTATGCATTCCCGGGTGTTCAGAAATGCCTAAACTTTTTAAGTGAGTATTATAAAAGTAATGCAGTTATGCAAGCAAGTGTGTATCCCAATTTGGGGTAGGTACTTCGATTGCACGACGGATCGCTTCCATGGTTATAATCCGTTGTGAATGTGAACATTTGTGATAAAACTGGTTTGGGAGGATGATGGTCCATCATCACGGGCTTTGTTGTAGTGACTGAAGAACCAAGTGTTGGATTTAAATTTCATCTAGTAACAACTAAGGCAATACCACTGGGAGTTGGCAATTAAAGTTGTCTGCCTTTTGGCATAGCTTGCAAGCATGTGTGAAGTTCTCCAAGCACAACTGTATGCATACTGCTTTGATACATCTTGTTTTACAATGTTCGAAGAAACTTTGTTTTTGATGGATTCGCTGGACATTTATTCCTAATATCATTTTCTACATTTGCGTCAATCTTACCTCTCAAAGGCATTTCATAGTAAAACGAGCCACCATGCTCTTTTTATAGTAGTTACCAACCTTTTGCTCTTCTGAGTCTCAGCAAAACTTTCTTTACGTTTTTTTGAACAACATTGCTCCTGTTCTGATGGAGTGTTGTGAAACCAATTCACTATGAATATGGGGTTTCAGTGACTGCTCTCTCCCACATTGTTAATTAACCATACACAAAGACCTTCACATGGGAAATTGCAAGAGGGAGGAATTTATCGCGTGCTGGCTGGTTACTTCTTGGTCAGTTTTGCCTTTCAGGTGACCACCGATTTGAATCATGGCTGTACAAATTCTCACACTGGCACTTCCGCCAGTGCACCTCTGGCGGTTGGTATCATCGCCCTAATGTTGGAGGCCAAGTACGTTTCAGCCTCCTCTCGCTAGGCTCATACAACGTTTTTGAGTTTTCATCTTTAACGTCTTTACTCGTTTTATTCGTAAGGTGAATAACTTTTGCCTTCAACTTTTTAATTCCACAATTTTTTGCCTCAGAGCTAATGAGCCTGTGGAGCTTTTTAAATTGATAGCTTGAGTGATACCTCATTCTTCTAACTTAGGCACTACCTTCTCCTTGACGCTGACACATCAATCCTCTCCATTTTACAATTCACTTACTTTTCTAATCGACTGTATCAAGATTCCGAGTTCTTGAATCTAGCTTATTTAAATAGTGTTTCTTTGTAGGGTTTGACTACCGAGACTGTATTAAGAGGGGCTTGTTTATTTCTAATTTAGTGTTTTGGTTTGGAGCCAAACTTCAGTTCATTTTGACAGCCTTTTATGACCGCCTAAAGTTAACATTACCTAACACAGGTAGTAAGCGGATTATTGGAATAAAATTGAAATAATTCTCGATTGTTTAATGCAACTTCGAATAATTAGTTCTTTAATATGACTTATCTAAACTCATATTGTTGTAATTTCTAGCCATCCATATCTAATCTGTTGAGGTTATTGTCAATAATGGCAAGATTGAGCTTCACCATGTCTGTGTGAGTCAATGGTTTCCCTCTTTACGAGGCTTATAGTCCGTTGGGTCTTTGTTAAATGAAATGAGTCCTTTTATGAGCATAATAAAGAATCGAATTGCTCATAGTTTGAATTCATTTGTACAGCAGATGACTTTGGGGCATGGTTATTTGAATTAGAAATCGTCAATAAATGAATAACAAATTGCTTTAAAGTAATGCAATCGAATAAATTTTCAAAATCTCTTTCCTTTAGCCCAAAACTCACCTGGAGGGATGTGCAATACCTTACTGTCCTGACGGCGAACACGAAGCCATTCAAAGACGGTGATTTCACAAAGAATGGAGTTGGGTATCTTTGTAAGTTTGTCCGTCTTTTCTCAGATCTTTGATTTGTAGTTCATTGTTGTTTTTTAAAAAACCATCAATGCCCATATGCTAAAGGCAGTAATTCCTTTACCGACTAAAGTGGGTTTAATCTCCACCCTCAGTCAGTATATTTACACCAATGCATTTTAAAATAGCCCTTTTTGTTGCATTATAAGCATTATGTAACTGTAGTGCTCCCAACATTACCTTCTTATGAATAATTTGGTTCCAAAATCCTCTTAAGCATTTGAGTCCATCTTGTCTACAAAATCTCATCATTGTCATTGCGTGTGGGTTTGTTTTGTGTGTGACTGTTAGTTGGAGCTTTCGGCATCGAGAACTAACTGCGCTTATCTCTAATCGTAATAATGGGATGGAGAAGGTAGAAAATACTTCAGCGACCTCATCGCTTTCATGCAACCGGAAAGGCTCCCTTGGAATCCTAACGCCTTTGTTAATTAGGTCCATTCCTTACTATGGTCAAAGTAATGCTATTTTTGAATAACCTATTACCTATTTTCTGCTACGATTAAATGGGTCTAAAAACTGTTGGCGCCTATTTGGCAGAATCAAAATTCTTTTTACCAAGTTTGCTTCCCAAAATATGACAGAAGGGAGATGTCTCTGTCTTCAGACGTCTGCATAATTATCAAATCAAGTCGAAGTTGTCAAAACCGTTAAGTTACTCTCAGTTTTCTCAAAAAAAGTTCCTGTTCAGCTTCAACGCTATCAAAAGCGTGTTAATTCCTTTACAACTGACGCAAAAACGCAATTACTTTTGAGAAATTGCTTCTCGTATATCCTCAAATTTGCTTTTTCTCCCAAGAAGCAGCTGTGTTTCTTCTCCTTCAATACTAAACTGTTTGCTAAGCCCTAAGTTCACGTGACGCTCTAACAGACACAAATTATCTGAGGTATGAAAAATCTTGACATGTAGTTTTTTGTATGATGTTGAGGGCAATGGCGACCATTATTCTGTATCCGACGCATATAGTGAAAATAGTGTTCAGCTTTCTTCCTTACCATGTTAGTTTTTAAACGAATGAATCACGTGTGCCTACGTGTTTGTGTCTAGCCTCTCTATGCGTCTGTTTGCATATGAATGTGCGCGAATAAGCGAATTTTGTGTAGGAGACCATGAAGGGACGTACTGCCCTTTGTGCTTTTGACTCCTCTGCGATAACATCCTCTGTATTCGCAACCTTTTTGCCGTGCCGTTAATACCTTTTGTTTACGGTGCTAAGTCTTACCTGCATTTGTGACGGATTCGGGTTAGCAATATCACCTCATAGTTGAGATCCGTGGAGCTGAGAAAATTGCTGTTTTGCTGTTTAGGTTGCACAGTTTTAAGAGTTCGGCTGGTTGCTTCAGGTGTTATTTTTGCAAGTATGGTGAGATTCTTGCTAAACCTTTCTGCACACTGTGCAAGTGAATCCGCTCATAGTGACATTGGGCGTATGCCCTAGTCTTCATTCCAATTTTTCATCAAGTAGCTATTTTTACTGAAGTTTGTGCGCACCTGTAGACTGCCACATTGAAACACTGTTTTAGTGCTCGAAACAATTAATCACATTTGATAGATGGAAAAGGGACTGTGGGAATTTTTGCTCATAAGCATAGTTATTTCTGGTAATGTTTCTTTGCTTACTGGAGATTGGTGACACTGTTTTAACAAGGCTTCATTTGATACATTTCAAGCAATCAATTATTTGTAGCGTAGTGTCTTTCCCTCTTTTCGAGGCGTTGACATTATATTTTGTTATCTTGTCCTTCTGCATGCATTTTTCCATCTCAATTTTGAATAATGACGACTTAACCCAGGACCACAGGTCTACCAATGATACCTGCACCGATTAATTTAAAAGGTCAAACATTTCCATTTCCTGCCCATGTGTAACCTTATGCATTTTAAACTAGGCCTCATTTTCGTGTCGTAACAGGTTCGTACGTGTTTCTTATGCTCTTAATCATATGAATGAAGCTTGTTATTACGCTTTAGTTCGCGTTTTTTATGTGGACTACTTGTTCATTGTTGTCAAATCTATGTACACAATTGCAATTAAAGTGTCGCAGCATTTCTTTACGTTTATTTTTTCCATGTAGTTTTGCTGAATTTTGACATGCCTAATTTCGTTTCGGGCAGCCCCTCATCTCTTAGTTGAAGACGATTTTCAAAATGTTATGCACCACATGCTAGCTCACTGAGGTTGGCATCACTCACGATATTGACGTTCATCTTTGTGCTCAGAGAGGGCTATGGCTGAAATTCGTCAACACTGTCATCTGGTGTGCTTTTAACATCCAAAAACTGGATATGGAATGGCTTTGCTGACGCACCTTTGGGTGCACTTTTCTGCTTTTTGGGTCAGTCATCCATCTTGGGGTTTAAGAGGTAAAGAAGGCCTAACTTTGTCATGAAGCTCTACGTGCTATTACGACGTCTGCGAAACCTCACCGTCCAACCGACGTTTCTATGTCGGTCTGATTATCCTCGTCTAGAATTACAATTGCGACCGCGCCTTGTTCATACGGCCACCCATGACGGTTTCTATCACATCGTCGATTTTGAACCCCAGTATTCAGGGAAATAGTCAAACGTCCAACCAGATAATAACGACATTTGGTAGATTCACAAAAATTGTGTAGTATGATGTCAGGTTTCACCTTTGGCTATCTAAAAATGTGTTGGATTATACTGGTGTTATTTGCATGTTATGACGCAGAGCCTCTGCCTTTCCCCTTCCAGACAGCAATTACTATGGGTTTGGTTTAATGGACGCAGGGAAGGCTGTGCGATTGAGTGAACTCTGGCGAACACTTCCTCCACATCACCGGTGCACAACAAATGTGAAACAGCTCTCTAGGTGATTCTTCTCTTCCTTCCTTGCCTTCCTTTCATGATTATCTCCTCTTCCACTGCAAAATAATATTGGCGAGCGTAAAATGGTTACTCATTGAATCATAACCAAAATGAATAGTAATTCATTTTGAAGACGAATCAAGTTCGTTATTGCCTGTTCTGAATGTGGACGGTGTCCCAATCTCCTCACTTTTCCTATACGCATTCGGGTTCAAGCACTGCACACACTGCCTTCACCTTGTTTGTAATGTTCCAATATCCACTGTGTTTAACTCATCCTCGCTTATACCTGAGATGATCTCATGTAAGATTGTTTAGTCGTTGATTTTTTAGTACTTTGATTTGGTAATTTTTTTTGAAAACTTTCTGACTAGTGGGTGAAATGTCAGTTGAAACCTAACATAATCTCTACGCCTCTTCCACAAGACGGATATAATTGAGGCTTTAAACTTTTGCACCGAAACTCGATGTTTACACTAACTAGAGTAAGATCTGTTTACCCTTTGTCAGGGATCTGTCAGTTTTATTCTTGGAGACGTATACCTTCAATTTCACTGGATGCCGACCCTCCTTGGCTTCTGGGAATTCCATTGGCAAGATCAAGGAGGAGGGAGAACCAATCGCCTTTGTGGAACACATTCAGGTTTTCATGACCGTCCGCTACGATCACCGTGGCCTCGTTCGTGTACGCGTGATTTCGCCTTCCGGTTCGTTTAAATTACTCTTTGTTTGAAGGTGATTGCTCTGTAACTTCTAAAAATTCAGCTTTTTTCGCCTCTGTGACATATTTGCGCATTTTAAAGCAAACCAAATCATTACAAATTGTGTATATACAATGTCCTACCTTTGTTGACTGTCAATTTAGTCAATTATTTTTCTATCAAGGTTGGCTCCACAAATACAGGCGCCTTGGTAACCAGGGCCGTGGTCATGACATAAAGAGGACAGCTATTCCAAAAATGACGTAAAGAAAAGTGTTTGAAGTTATTCTTAAAAGGGAGGCTTTTAGTGATTTATTTAAAAATCCACTGTTTGAAATTTGCGTTCATCCCCTTAATAAAGGCAGATTCTGGCACCTACTGTTTACTTGCGAAAGGATATTGCCTGCTCAAGCATCCGGTTGGAGTCCTCTTGACGGTTGTCACAGCACTTGTTCTAAAGTGTCTGGTTCTGAATGTACGGAATAAACCTGGACATTGCCATGTTTTAATTAGCGGTGTTTTTGCATTTTTCGTAAGGAGTTCATCTATCATCTAATGTATCCATATTCGTTACTAGTACTGTTTTTACCTTTAAATGCGTTTTTATAGTCAGATCACTGCCTTGATGGAAGTGACGATGTGTGTTTATTTTTCTCCAAGTCCACTTGCACGCAACTTTTGGATTGGTTAAAATCATGCAACTTATTTATTTAGTTTTCTTGAATTCTTGAGTTAGATATCTAATCTGTAATCTGGGACCTATTTTGTTGTGAGGACATGGTGCTGCGGCTACAGAGGAATTAGTCCCGTCTCTAGGACGATTTGGCTGAAGTCTTGGCAACATTTGCTTGCTTTTGATTTTGCTCATCAGCATTGCTCTGCAAATCCGACATCATCATGTTGTAGTTTTGGGATGCTTTTTGTAATGGCGAATGCAAAGTTGGAAGAGGGTAACAGGCGGCAGATCCTCAATTGCCGTTTTTGTGGTGGTGGCGGTGGTGGTGGTGGCGATGTCAGTGGTGTCAGTCCACTTGCTCATATGCTTCTCTAGATTGTGAGGACTGCCAAACATTAGTTCAAAGGCGACTTCTTCTGAGGTTGTACACTCCTCAAGTGGGTGACGCATTAGCCATCGACTATGTTGTTTCAATAACACATGAATCAGGTCTTGGTTTAAATTTACCGTCCTTTGATGAATTGATCAAAGTCATCTGCTTATGTCAATTAATCACTTGGATGCGAATTCGGTGGTCGCTTCCTCATATCTTGTAATTCAAACGCCATGTATAAATACTATATTATTTACCCAGGCATCCAAAACTTCAATTTTGGGCGTAAGTGACTAGCTCGCTTAAAATGAATTTGTGCCTGCATCAGCTGAAAAGTTGAACCTATGGTTTTAATGGCGTAAAAATTTCGCTCAGACTTCAAGGTATCAAATAAAGTAAGTTAGTACATAATGTTTTCCACCCAATTTTAATTTGCGAATGCTTATGGCGTCGATTCCACTTGTATCTTCAGACACTGCATTTCTATATGAAGCGTAGCTCCTCGAATGTGTCAGAAAATGAACGAATATGGAAAACTTTTCATCGGAATGTCGGATTTGTAAATTTTTCCCGATCTTCAATTCATTTACTGTCTGCATCAGCTTTATTCCTTATCGGTAATGGAGTCGATATAAAAACGTTCACAGAGAGTAAATAAATGGTTGGCATAAGTATTCTTTACACTATTCGTACTTCCACTTTTCACAAAGACAAAAATTTCAATGTCTATGATTTATAGTGTTTAGCTTATTGCCTATTTCCTAGAAAAAACACTTTCCATTATTTCTGTCTGCCGTGGATATGGTTATGACTTCCTTATCGACCGCCGTCATTGCCTTTTGCAAACATTTGTTTGGTTCCTCCTTTAGTTAATCAGAAGCGCTCCATTTTGGAAGTTTGTGCTGATAATGATTGTCTCCTTTGGCTTCACTAATCTTCAGGGACAAAAGAACGATCTCCAGCTTTTGAGCTTTCCTAGGGTTTTTTTTAAATCAGTGCTGGTGCTCAAAACATGATGCATGGAACCACTGAAAAAGCGCTGTTAGAATTGAGCTATGCGTACTTTTATGCGCATTTAAGCATACAATTCCATCGCTTCGAAGGAATTCTCCTTCTGGCTACCATTTTCGTTTGTATGTGATTATAGTTACCTTCTCGTGAAATTTCTCACTGCTTCCAGGTGTAGCCAAGAGTGCAGTCTGCCATTGAAAATGGACTCAACTGATAGTGAATTTGCGTTGTTTTGCATTAGCAGATGGCCATCCGAAAATTCATGGAAGTGTTTGCAGTTGAAGCTCATTTTATGCCTTATTTATCAGACTTTTTTTCACTTTGTCGGTTGGTTGGTGGCTAAGGAAAATAGGAAGATTTTTGCACACTCAGATGCCACCATTCTCTATATTTGCAAATCTGTGGCACGGTAGAACACCCTTTAGCAGTGTTCAGAAAGGAGATTTACTGACCTTCTAGGCTGCTCGTGAAATATCCTTTGCTTTTAGAACACCTGGTTCAACGCAATTTGTGCATTATAACCTTTGCATCGAAGACATGGATGCGGAAGTTCTATTTACACGTCTAAGCTCCATGCAAAGGGTCATTTTATGGATATTTACAGGCGATTGTGGCAAAGTGCCTCTTCCTGTGTATGCGCCGCGGAAAACACGCTTAGACTTACAGTAAATGTTTCATTCCCCTTGCCATATAGGCGAGATAACAATTTAAATCGCAACAATCTTAAAATTATTCAACCTCATTTTGCGCAGCTCTTTTGCGCTACATTTAAGTGCTTTAAATTCACTCGGATCTCGGTTTTCTTCTTCAAGTTTATCCCTGTCTGTAGCATACATCATCAACTAAGTGGACCTGATTTAATTAATTTTCTACCGAAGGATAGTCATTCTTTCTTCCACTTGTCACTTGGGTAGAATTTACTAACTGACTCGATTTTTTTCATTGAATAGTCACTAATTTATGCTTAGTAAGTTATTTCGTAGTATTTACGTTTCTATAGCTATTTTTACTGGACAATTTACAGCGTTACTGCTGTCGATGCATTCGTTCACAGTTGGAACTACTTGTATTGCTGCTGCAGCGTTCCACTTTATTGCTATGGTTTCTGCACCCCGGACCGTGGGAGTAGACATTTTGGTGTCTCACGACCGATTAACAAAGAACATGAACGGATTCAACACGGCGCCTTTCGACAAAAAATTTTGGCCAAATGAAGTCGTTTAATTCGCTCCACGGCGAGTGTGACGGCTGCAATGGCATTTTCTCTAATGTTGTCTAAGACCATAACCACCATGACAGCAATCTTTTCTTGACCATTTCATATTTAAGGTAAAAACAATGTATTGTGCGTTAATGACCACTGATTAGCTTTCATAGCACTTTTGGGGTCCTCTTAGGGAGAAGGGATTGCGGTTAGCATTCATTGACTTTAGAATTTCCGTATGTCAGGTCTGACATTCGATAAAGGCTTGTACATCTTCCAGAGGAACCAGCTTTCAGTCCATCCGATGGTACTTAGGGCTTTATTGAAGGAGAGTCTTATCTGAATTTAGTTAATCTGTCCCAACAACAAGACAAGGTTGTCTCCAATCCATCAATATTTTAGCTTCGAAAACACAAACAAGCCACTGGACGCATCACGATGTGCGCCATACGATCAAAAGGATTTTTTAGCCCTATTTAAATGAAGAGATTTTTCATCCTGACCTTACTTTATGACATTTACCGGTCAGCGTTTATCAGTTTGGTTTGGACTTTCTTGGCTTTACGGTGGCAACAAATAGGTGGTTGAGTTTTTCATTCAGGTGTATGAGTATGCCTTTTGGATTTCTAGTTTAGGCTTAATCGCCATTTCTCAACTCCTCCAACTTCGAGGCATGACCTTCGACATAACCTTCCTATGCATTTAATATGCTGTCGCGTTTTTAAGACTTGAAACTCCCACTTATAGCTGCGCTTTAGAGGGCTTTCTGCTCTGTACTAGTGTTGCTTTATTTAGATGTTGCTTTGTCACTCAGCCTTTGTTGCGATTGTTGGTGCCTTTGTTGTCTTCAGACAGCATGCACGACTTCAACAAAGTGGCTTTTCGAATACTCAAATTTAAATTTTCACCCCCTCTTCTGTTGGTGACGATCATCCAAAATTAATTAATCGTGTGGTATTCATTCCACTACATGATGCAATGTTTGAAAAGACTTCGCACCGGAAGCTGGGAAGGGCACAAAGCCTTTGCAATTGCTTTTACTCGGGACAATTTCTAAGATTGCGTCCGAGTTGCCAACAAATTGTCCTAACTTAAGATGGGGACTTGAGACAAAAGTGCTAAGTTAAAGATGAATAAAACCAATGAATGTGATTGCTAGGTTGTTTTGTAAGTCTATCACGCTAGTTTACTTACCCAAATCACATTTTAGGCACCGTATCAGAGTTAATGCCTGTCCGATTGTTTGACGCTTTCTCCAAGTTCGACGGAATTGATCGTTGGCCTCTGATGAGCGTTCAGTTCTGGGGAGAACCCTCCGCAGGAGAGTGGAAGATTATAATCGACAACAAGGAAGGCTTTAAACAATTATCCTCATGGAAGAAACATCAGAAGACCTTCGAAAAATCTGCCGGCCAGTGGGACTCCGTCCACATGGTTGCCTACGGGACAGAATCGTTCCCAATTCGGCTTAAGCCTCCCAATAAAGAGAGACAACCCCCTAAGGTTTGTGCTTTATCAGAAGTGATTTTCCATTTCTCAAAATTGAGGTAAGAAGGAGTTTAAACTCCATTTAGCATAGACAATTTGGAGGTTCACGTGATTGTGCAGACATAGGTTTTGAATAATAAGCTATTTTTGCATGTTTTTTTGATCTTCGAAAGAGCACATTGCTTGACTGTCCGTACCATACAAGCAAAGTTTTCGGCGTCATCTTGGCGCAATTTCTGTGTACTTACGTTCAACGCCTTCGTTACGTAGTGCTTTTGGACCGTTATTTATATAGTTGAAAAATTCGGCAGTTAAATCACAAATAAACTAACTCAGCTCATTAGCTACGTTTTGATAGCCATTTGGAAAGGGAATTTGTGGACATCAGAACCAAAGTAAGCACACTTTTTGGGGACTCTCCTCATCAAGGATAAGATGAATCGCCTTTAACCATACCTTCGTACACATTATGTGTAGAGGTAGTGATCCATCCATCGAATAAAATGCTCTTAACTTCGGCGCTAGCAATAGCGCGACCTCCAATAGTCTTGCGTGGTATTCTATTTCTAGGCAATTCTAAAGGCGAAGATGCAACTGCTACAACGCAACCTGGACTGTAGGTTAAACGGCAAATCTGCATTTTTCTTTTAGCCGTGGTTTGACCGATTCTCGCAGTACGTTGTTTCTGACGACGAGATGTCGCCCGCTGGGTACAAGGTAGTTACGTATTCCCTGTTTATAACCAGCTAGTGAACGTTTAGTTTTTGTTTAAAGGCTATCTGTTCTGTATCACAATTCTTTATGGAAAAAATTCCATTCCATAACTAGTACACATTATTCAATGTTCTCAGCCGTCGTCCATGTATCATCATCAGTCCCCAATCAACATTTTCTCAAGTGCTGGGTTTTGAGCCGCTTTATTACCATGCATTATGTTCAGTGTGGTCAGAAATAAGGCACTTTTCCTCCTCTAATGTTGCTGCTTTTCATACGAGTTCGGTTTCCCTCCGTCATATGTCATTCTCAGTGCAGCCCTAAATTAAAGGCCTGCTTACAAAGGAAACGGTAATCACGGGAAATGGCGTACCCAACGAATGTCACTAATCTAAAAAATCTAGTAAATTTTTTTTAACCGAATTCCTTCAGTGTCGAGATGCACATTGACTTGCTCTGCCTCCCCGGTCTGTTAATTATGTAATACTGCAAGCCATGCGAGAACGGATGGTAGTCAACTACCGCTGCAATCGCCGTATTTTTTTCAACCGGTAACTTGGGAACGCACCGAAAATGCTTTTGTTGTGATTAAGGTGGCCATTATAAAAGAACGGTCATTTCCAAGTGCATTAGCTGTGAATTTTTTATTTTAACATTAGTCGTGTTTTCTGCACGCCTTCGATGTAAACTTCAAGTAGTGTAAATTGAAATTGAACGCATTTTTTAAACGTTCTTTTTGTTGATTTTGCGTACCTCCTCTTTAGTGTCACAGTCAATGCGCCACAAATGAGTGCTGGGGACCTTCGGCAAACCAGTGTTTGAAGGGCTGCAAAAACTTCGTTACAGAAAGCGGGTTAGTTTCAAAATTTATATTCACAAAGTGCTGCCTGTTGCTCACTAATGGATAGATTGGCGACATGCTCTTAGCCGATCACGTAATTTTGAATTTTTTCGGGCTTCTTGACAAACGTGAGAGGAGGTAGGAAACAACTTTTGGATGCAGTAGTTAAGTACATCCACTTTCAATATTGCCTATCATTGCTCCCAGACATTTTAATGGTTCAATGCTTCTACTTTTGGTGATTTGCGTAGACCTAATCACAGCGAGTTTTGACATTCTTTAAACAATATAAGAGGTACAAAGTTAACCAACTGACAATTTTGTTCGTATCGGTAACATCCTTGCAGGAGCTTCCCATTCAAGGTTTGTTGGTGGCTGAAGGCTTGCTAAATAGTTTGTCAAGATCTACATCCTTTTTACACTTATAGGGAGAAATTCCTGACCTGCATCATTAAAAAATACTGTAGTGGTCACTGTCTACTGGGTTTGTGGCTTGAAAAATGACTTTGAAACGGTGCTTCCGACTTTATTCTCTGCAAGTCAGCAACTATCAGTTGCTTATGTAGGTTTCCTATGTAGAAATGTAAACTTTGTTACTCCTCAATGAAGCCTTTTTTAGTCTTAAGGTGCTCTTGATTCATTTTAAATCGCAATTTGCACAAACACTTGCGCTGTGAAATTTTTCCATTACACTATCTGTGATTTCTTTTGTATCTTCTCGATGAGTTTTGGTCAGCCATTGGTGAGAAGAGCCACCCATTGGAATTTCTTAGAGCTCCCGACCGTTTTGTTTGAAAGGAAAAAAATTAGGGTAGACGCATGCAAATGAGACCTTATGCATAGATTGTGATGCTTTGGGGTTTATTTGCTTATGGTTTGAGAAGTATGTCATTTTTGCGCAGAGAACCAACTACTTGTGGACCTAAAAATGGTCCAAACCGAGAAGCACAAATTGCGGCCATGTCTGATCATTAAGTTATCATCACCTGTTTTACACGATTCTTGTGATACAAAGGATTTATAAAAGTTGATATGCTTACTGCGTGAATAAGTTGGGCGTTACTTTAGCTTTTATCAGGAATTTTCAAAAACCCACCTTGTTTTTGAGCTTTACTTTCCTGCCAGTACTCGGGTAGGCGACGTGACCCAATGCCTAAAACATTAATGCACTTTATTGAGGTTTTAACTTTTCAATTGCATCTCTTAATATACTGTTAGCCATCGTAAAGAACTGCTCACCTTACTTTTACGGATCTTTAATAACAGTGGTGATCACATGGCAATGGTTGGAACTAGCAACGTGAAATTGGAGCTGATAATTTAACCATAAATGTTGTCCTTGAGTGGTTCTCTTCCGCACCAGGCAATGTGTGGCAAAATGTCCAATGGGCACGACAGCGTTGATTAGTGAAATAGTGAATGATCTGCGCGTCCACTCCTCGACTGTGGCATGGAGAACCGAATTGCGCTGTGAGCGCTGCTTCTCGACGTGCGCGGAGTGTCTGCGACCCTACTCCGCACACGGCTGCACCGCCTGCTCGGGCGACTCCTACCTCGCCCCCTTTCTCAGTCCCACCAAGCCCCAAGTACCTCTGAACTCTCGAATCACTCGTCTTCTTAACTCTATCACTGTCTCTCGTGGCGGTCAATTGCTTGTCGGCTCCTGTGTCTCTCGTTGCCCCAGTGGCTATTTTGCCAACGAAACGAGCAAGGTTTGTGAACAGTAAGTCACTATTGGTTCACACAAGCTTTCATGACAAATTATCGAATAATATCGTATTTTTGTAAACGTTACGTTGATGTGCTGCAATCTGGTACTTTTATTTTTACTTTCTGACCATTCCCGCTGGGAACAAAAGCGAGACTTCTATCGAACCCTTGCGAAACAACCATTTAGTGTCCGTTTGTACAATGACCTTGTTCATTGGATTGAGGTCATTTTAAAAAATGCTGAATATCAACCCTACTCGCTCGCATTTTCCTTTCCCTTTAGCGTTGTATTAAGACAGTTTGCTACATATTTCTCGAATAGGCACTTCGCTAATTTACAGGCACAGTGGACTTCTATCATTTTGTACATTTAAGTGTTCTCCATTATTATTTGTCATCACTGGAGCAGTAACATTTAAAACGTAAATTTTGAATTTCGATTGTGTCCGAATGTGGACTGATGCCAAACGGCATGCGAGGTTGTTTGATGGACAACTGAAAGTTAAAATCGAATGTGCTGTTGCCCTTGTAATTCACACAATTTTAAACGAAAACACTATTTTCGAAAATTGTGTATTCACAGGATTTGTCCCCCGTCTAATCCCTTGAGCATTCAACCGGCTGTTTGCTAATGCAACTTGAAGGCGTGCGAGCGTAGTGATTCCAGTTGAGGTCCCAAATATTCCCACCTCAAAGCACACGAAATCGCCTCATCTGCAGTCACGCCATTTTTCTCTGTTCCATATTTGTTGCTGATTAAAAAATGGCGCGAGAGCTCCTGCTGCGGTCGAGCGCACTTAATGGCTTTAGTGGCACACTGGATTACATAGCGTTCAGTACGATTTATTCGTTTATTCTACTTCACTCCATATCGCACTACACTTTCAACAAAACTACAACGTCCTCAACAGTCGCTCACCCAAAGCTTCATTGTGAATTTTGGTTTGCTACTGTAATAAAACATTGACTTTGAGCGCTAATTTAACCCTCAGCCACGCAAGCGGAAGCTCTCGGCATTCACTTTAAGGTCGGTAACTTTGCCAACTCCCATTGGAAATTCCAATGGTGCTGTGAATCTTGTGCACAAAATGGCTCTTTTATTATGCGGCTTTGCTGTGAGTTCCCTCAATTCGTTTCACCACTTTATTTCACCGTTCGGATTTATTGAAAGTTTCAAGATATTATGGGAAATTTCCGCGTCTTCAACATGATTCTCTGTACTTATAAGCTTGTAAGGATTTTGTTTTCATAAAACTTGATGAAAACGCATAACCGAGCTAAATTTAGTTCTGGTGTATTTTTACCTTTGCTATAAGATTGAATTGTTGCAAATACAATGGAACGTTTTGCCATGGCTGGAGGAGCGTTGGTAGAATTTGGCGACCGTGGGATATGAGGCACACTAGGTTGAGGCGGGTGGACGCGGGTTTTATTGGCTAATTTTAACGGTGTTCACTTTAATGTGACCACAACGGAAATGAAGGTCTGCATTGGTTTTTGTCGTGTAAATCTTTTTAAATGGTCTTGCCAAATTTGGTTACGAAAATGTCGTTCCTTCGCAGATGTGCAAAAAACTGCGAGGAGTACTCGGGACCGGAAGTCGAAGCCTGTCGGAAGTGCACCAAAAATTATCGTGTTGACGCCGCTGGACCGTATCGGTGTCCCAAAGGTAAGTCAAAGCATAGTCAGTGCGATGCTTGTGAACTTGAAGCGTGGACTGGCTAGTTTTGTGGGGAATGCAGAAGCATGGTTTGGGAGGAGTACATTTCACTGCAAGATTCTGAATCAAGGCAACGTATCTTAAGAATTGGCATTGGAGCGCACAAGCTTCACTTTTTAATCGATGTTACAGTGTAGGTAGATACAAACCCCTTGTTTCCACTCACTTCGTTCATAGAAAATGATTAATTTATTTAAAAGTCATTTTAACGTCCTCTCAAATGCCGTGCGTGTATGTACTTTAAGGCTCCCTCAAAATCAAGATAAGTCACAGTAACATGGCGGTACATGGAGGATTACAGCACAGAAGAGCTCGAGACTTATGAGCACGCTCCAAAGGCCATGCCATGAAACGCTCGTAGAAGATTGAACTGACCAGTTAAGCAAAGTATTAAACGAATGCTCACAATTATGAAAATGGATGACTATTTGAACTACACTTCGGCATCCAATGAGTCAGCATGGCCATTGATAATTTATCTTGCATAAATAGGCAGAGTTAACGTCATTTTAGGAATAATGTGAGTGTTGAGAACTCAGGCACGATGGCTCTTGTGAATTTTACTTACTATGCGCTCAAGGATGTCAGAAAACTTATTACTTCAGCAATATCTATGCATATGTCCCTACTGTGTCCGTATTTTAGATGAGTCGGCACAAATATGCAAAACATCAAATAGCAAATCTATTGAAGAGGGGCTTTGTTTGCTTTGAGCTAGTATGTTTTTATTCCAAAGGACGCGTTAACATTACGGCCCTTTTGGTTAAGTTTAGCCGTATTGGATGAACGTCCCTGTTTCAACCCTGGCAAAAATTTGTGCTCCGGAAGGACGACCGGTTCGTTTGTCCTCTTTACGCCAAATAACCTCTTATGCAGTAGAAAATGAGCCGTTGGGAAGGTTTTTTACAACGCAAAGTACTATGAGTGTCCATAAAACTTCTTATGATTGAATGCTTTGCAAACAAATGTGTTGCAAGTAAAATAGAGTGATGGTACTTTGTCATTTATTTTAAAATTTTAGTTCTGAAATTATTCTAATTACTTTCTTATCTTTCTGTTCTCATAATCTATTATCAAAGCTGGATGATAACTAAAAACCCTTCTTCTTTCGTGACCTGATTCCAACCCTGATAGTGAATTTCTCAAGGTAATTTGTAGCACTACCAGTCACCCTTCTTCCCATGACCTCTACTTGTCAGAACGCTTTATTTATTTTGGAGTCTCCCTTCTTCATCCATCCGCATGAGTCTTCAACATTAAAGTGAACTTTCCAATTCTTTTTCCCATTTGCATGCTGTTTAAGGCACCACCAATAATTACTCGTTTACTCTGCACTTTTTCACTCACCATAGGAGATCGCTTTGTCATTCTTTCAAGGTAGATGTGGAATTTGGACGAGACTTGGCCCAATGCCTTTACTTCCACCAATGCCACACAGGGCAACAGTTTTGAGCGATGTTCTCATTAAATTCCCATAACACATTGCTTTACATTGGGACCTGCGTGGTTCTTAAATTCATTGCTTTTTGGTAATTTTGCAATTCATTCACTTCGGCGGGTAGTATGCCAGCCGATTTTCGCTTTCATTCGAAGTCGTTTGTATTAAAAGACAACTGAAATCACCTTTATTTCGATTATGGCTAGAGTAGTAAATAGCACGTAATTAGAGTGTTTCGACCCTTAAAGTTTTTGGCTCAATTAAATAAACACAGTAACAGTCAAGTGCGACTTTTCAAGCTGTGGTAAATTTTCTGCGTCTAAAATGCGAATAGAACATTCGCTTTACATTTTTCATTACTGGAGAGAGACATTGCATCGCCATATTTTTGCATATTCATAAGTGTGGTCAAATAGATTTGTTGTTTCGTAAAATGTTGTGAGTATTTAAAGTCATAAGTTAGTAAGTGATGAAGGGCCATTTCGATGAGTAAGTGGCACCAGACTAATCCAGCTATAATAGGTTTTGCATTTCGCATCTATAAAGTACCACAAAAATTTTAACTCAATTCATTGTCTCGCTTTCCAAAGTGAAAGAGTGAAAGGCGTCAGAGTTCCACTTTGGGTAGCGCATAGTGCATCGCTTGCTACCTTTCGCTCAGGGAAATGAAACGGTCGTCTTTTGATTGTACTAACGAATGCGACGGCTGGAGGAGAGCCCGAGTCGTGCTTGGTGAAACATGACTTTCTATTTTTAAACTCATTCCTACTAATGGCAAGGCAGTTGCAGCAAAATACGTCACATACTAGCAGATCTGACGCCTCTCCAGCCTTTAGGCGTAACCAAGGTAGCCTACGATAATGGGTAACGTTATTAAATCTTAAAGATCAAGCATCCACTTCATATTCTCCACACCTTCCTCTATTACGATGAAGAACTGTAATTTGAGTTTTTTTGTTTCAGGCAGCTTCGTAAAAGGAAATATTTGTGTTCCTTGCGTTACGGGGTGCAACGTCGACTCCTGCTCAGAGCACGGACTTTGCACGTACTGCGACGCGGCACATCGGTGGGCTTTTGATGCACTGCCCTCCTTATCAAAGCGTTTTAATGTTTGTGCTTATTGGTTTACAAACCTTTCACACATCAAAGAGTTACCATGGTTCTTTGGTGACTTCTACTATTCTTATTAAATATTATAGTGTTGGTTTCCAGAAAATACTACAAAACGCATTGACATTTCACGGTCTGGACATCAGCCAATTATTTGAGTCACTTGTAGACTATCCTATAACCGGATTCTATTTTTGAGACTTTTTTGGGACTCATGCATTATTCACGAGAAGAAATTAAATACTAGGCTTCTAAGTTATTTTATACTTTTACTAAATTATTCAAAATGGGGACACCTAGGCAATTGGATGACAATTAAGTCCAATATATCGGCACCAGATGTAGGTGAATTCCCAAAAGTCAAAGTCTTGGCTGTCTGGAGCCTTGCTCTACTGCCTCATGCCACGCATTTTGATGCTGACGCATGCTTGCATTAATAAACCTCCTCTCCGATTAAGTCCTCGAGTTTTCACACCAATTTATCTTGTAACAAAGCCTGTTTCCGTTTAATTCAAAATGGGAAACGGGACTTCGATGTCTTGATGTCACCTTGTATAAATGAGGTGAATTTCATACAGCTTTCCTTTTTGTCCTATTGTTATTGGATTACGACCTGCTTGGAATCCTAACTGCTCATGCGTCGTTTTTTTCCTTCAATTTACTGCCTGCATTTGCATTTCAGCGATGGTATTCATTCTAGTTGTTCAGTAAGAGGACATTGCCATTTCACCCCAGGACTTTCTTAACCTCATCAATAATGTGCACTTTTCATTTGAAGTTTCTGACTACCATTGCAGCATGGAATCTTGCGTAAATACCAGCCGTGTTAAGCTATTGGAGCCAAAATCGAATGTGGCTTTACATCTTTTACATATGATTTTGGGCACAGCTTTGTAGAACGTCTGGCCGCATGAAGTCCCAGCAGCGCAATCTAGCGATAAATATGGGCTTGAATTGCATTGTATCCGTTCTTTTATTTGGCTTGAAGAACTGTCCTTTCATAGTTCTCTTTCCGCTCAAAATTGTGGTGTTAACCGATCATATAGTGTATAAAGATATAATCACCTTTTTGCGTTTTGCTTCAAACCCAGACGATGAGAAACTGAGACGTCTTAAGTCATGCCATTTCCGTCTGTGAGTGTTCCTTTTTTACGTGTAAGTCCCATTCCTAATACAATGATGCAATGCATCACGCTGAACTCTTGACTAGTATTTAATTACGTTACTCGAATTTTCGTCTTTGAATGACAGCAATGGGCACCTCTTGGGAGAACTGCACATGAACTCTCCACGATCTTTTCCATTATCATGGTATTGCTATTGGTTCATTAACGCTCGGCAAATACTGAAACTAAGAGAGCTCGGTTATCTAATATAATCCTATGCCATTTTATATGCCTGCTTCCTGCAAGTCTTCCACTAATCTTTACTGCAACAAAGGACTCGCATGTAGTGAATGGTTTGTAGAAATACTGAAAGAGTGTAGAAATTTTATGAAGGTTAGAAAATTGATGCTGTTGCCGTGGATTTGGATGGCTGAACCTCATTTGAACGTCTTACTTGAATCTTCTCTCTGCATTATTGCACAAGGAATGCTGCTCCTTTTATTTAACAACTCCATACTACTTTTGAACTCTACCTCAGAAAAAGGCACAGCTGAAAGCTTCGTAACACTCATTAATCTGCAAGGATTAATACCTTTGCTTTGTAGCTTCATGCATGAAGGCAGATGTGAGAAATCGTGCCCGGTAGGCTTCTTTCCCGCCTTCCAACTGCGTCAGTCCGGTCTGTACGAAACGGAGGCAACGCTGAGTGTAGACGATGCTGAGAGCGTGTGGATGTGCGCGCCCTGTCCTCCGGGCTGCTCTAGTTGCTCGCCCTCAGTTCGACGTCTGCAAGGCTTCGTGGTGCCACGATGCAATATCTGCCACGAAGGTCTTAGTCTCGAGCGCGACTCTGGACTCTGCAAATCTCCCTGCTCTACTGGGTTGGTGCACCTTTTTGTTCCTCCTCGAGTGAATTCAAAAGCAATTTGGTTCAACTTTTATATTCCACTTGAGCCATTACGTAATGCACAGAGTTGGATAAAAAGAAATTTATGACGAACTCGCAAACATTTCCCGACTTCTAGACTGCATGAGATTCGAGTAGCTAAATTAAACTTGCAAAATATATGCCTAATTGTTCCCTGGCCACATTCGTGGGATTGATGATGGAGATGATCCAAAGACCATTTTCTGAAGTAATCGTCTGGTATGCAAGGCCAAAATTACTTAACTCAGTTTGAATCGAAGGAGGTTAGATGGCCAATGAAGTTTTCTAACCACTTGTTAGACTTTGCAATTAGACTAAAAATGCTTTTGCATCAATAAGATACCTCGATCGGACCACTTCTTGAATTCTCATCTACTACAATACAATCCATTTTATCATTTAAATCAGCTGAGGAAGATTGGAAAGTGGGAGTTGGCAGCTCACTAAATTTCACTCTTGTTTTTAAATCGCAAGGCAAATCTTTTAGAAGCTGAACTAGAAATTAAATAAAAAATTAAATTGGGGACACTTTCAGGCTTCACCATCAGATCACATTTTCCGTAAATATATTCTTTTTGCTGCTATTGGAGGCTCGGAAGATTATCTAATAATGACAAATTGGTGATCTACTAGCAACCTTGCATCGAGTTGAAGCGTCCATTGCTACAAAAGTGCAGGTGACGTTTGGGATGTTAAATGTAATCTATTCTTGAAGGTTGATATAAAGTCATTTTATTTATGAGTATACAGAAGTAAAGACAAGCAACTGACTTCCATTAATATGCTGGTGAAGATTACAATTTACGATTTTCTTTCTTTCAACAGCACCTTTGGTCAAAACTGTTCTAGAACCTGCCATCATATGTGTTTGACTTGCTTTGACGAATTGGATTCGTGTCTCCAGTGTTCTTCGGGCGCTTATTTGGCCTATGGCGAACACCAGCTTAATCCGTTGATAATATTTACAAATAGCAAACTCATTGGCTATGGCTGTGTTAACTTCTGCCCGGAAGCGACCTACGCCGCTAGAATCGATGGTGAATTAATCTGTCATCCCTGCCCTCCATTATGCAAATCATGTGCAGGTAATTGTGTATTTACTTAGAAGCTATTAGTAGCGTGTGCTTAAAGCTGACATTAACCTTCTCCCCTCAACTTAGCTCCGGATAAGTGCACTCGATGCGAAGATGGGTACGCTCTGAGTAAGCATGACGGGAAATGTGAGCCGGTGATAATGTGTTCTCAGGCTACATATTTTGACAGTGGTGATCAAGTAAGTGACCAGTTTGTTGTCGGCACATTGGGTGCAGTTCCTCCACAGTGTTATAGGAAAAATCGTATGTATCATGACCCTAGAAATGCAAACCATGCCACCCTTCTTGTGTCCGTTGTCGGGGTCCGGGATCCTCAGACTGTTTGGAGTGCTCTAGATCGAGTAGTAATCTGAGTGCTTCTCCTGCCTGTTTGGAACCGTCCCCATCAGTTAGGACAGCGCACACCAGTCAAGAGCCCTTGCCAGAACCCCCTGTTGGAACCTGCTACCCTTGCTGTCATGTCTCTCGCATTCTTGACTCCCAACCACCCTCCGACTGTCTCTTTTGTCTCCCTACCGAAGGCAAGTTGTCTAATAAAATAGCAACGAACTTTACCACATCACTTTGATGCTTCCCAGTAGGGCAAATAGTCAGTTACAGTTTGATTGATTCCGGACTTGTTTTCCTCAGATTAAAAAGTCGCATCGTGTAGCGTTTAAGTCAACGATGTTTGCCATCTGAACTCACCTAAGAATGGGGTGTATGTGTGTGTGTGCATGGACTCATAAATCACGTTGTCGACCATCAGCACTCTGTCTCATTTCGCCTCTTACCAAGTCGGAGTGTTGTGCACGTAAAATTACGCACGACGGCCCGGGCATAAATTTCGGCCGCCTGGTAACTGCTTATACAAGTGCAAAATTTTAGGTGCGTGAGTTTGCACGTGTGTGTGTGTGAACGCGTATCTATATTGGTTAATAATCCATCTGCTACATGTATGCATGCATGCAGACCTAACTCCCCTGTGCGTGCTCTTGTGCTGTATCCACTTGTTTATTCACACGCACACACATGCGCAAAATCGTGGTGCATCTTGGATTTTGCGCATCCTTGCTCGCCCCCGTGTGTGTGCGCGAATTCGTTTTGTTTATCTTAACCGGTACGCGCGCGCACGCGAACAAGCGCAGAAGCGTTCGCCCCTGACCGCCAACGAGGCCGTGATTGTGTGTGTGGAAAGGAAGAAGCATTGACGAGACAACCTCTTCCCTCCCTGTCATATTGCAAGATTTTCACCTCAACGACTGGTTTCCTTCTCCAGTTGATCATTGAGTGCACTTATGAGCGTTGCGGACGCTTTCATCAAGTGGTCTTATGGTGTCGTGTAAATGCATAGTATGAGGTCGAAGGCGGCAATTCATATTCTATAAAAATGGAAGGAAAGCAAAGGAAAGCTGCTGCAATGCTGCCCAACTACATCATTGATGTTAGCTCTCTCGGAAATGGTGTCAGGTAGCTGGCTAATTAACCATCACGGCCGCTTTCATTGTCTAAGAACACGAGAGCAGAAATTGAAGGTAACACTTGTTGGAAGGTGACTTCAAGAACAGGTGTGCTGTGTTTATTTGATTAGGTTCGATAACATACGTTGTAATTTGATAACGTTCTCTACATAGTTATACCACAGTGTCGTCAACTTTGGTAGCAGCTTATGGTTCTTGATTTGTAAACCACTCTGTGGCTCGTGTATTTTACACGTACAGGTTGTTCCCCTATAATTGTCGTACACTTAGCTGAGTGGCTTGGTGTTTATTTATTGTGTAGCCTAGGGTAGAGCCCTCCCACATAGGGGGCGATAGTAATATGTACAGCATTGCTGAACGTCATCCATTGCACGTGTTCAGGCAATATGCGACCAACGGTGCTACTGGAAGGTCTTTCATTTACAGCATCTACTCGTTGCATTTATTGCAATCAAGTTGCATGATCTTAACACACCTTCATAAATTTGTAGCTCCACGCACGTAGGTATTTGGTTAATGAAAGGCTTGCAAATTGGTGCAAGAATGAGAACAGAGGTGTATGCCGAGTGGCTGTGCGCCCTGGATGACTAAGGTCTTTGCACACAGGCACACGGTAAGGAGGCGTAGGCGAAGGAAGAATGACCAAGGTGGTCGGTGGTGGGTCGCCTATCGTTTGTCCGGTTGCCGGCCCTCCTACCAGCCTTCGCTGTGCCCCATCACCACTGTTTTCTTTGCTCGTGGCCTCATTAGACCACGAAGACACACTTCTCTAGTTCTCCCCTTGGGCATTAGCGTTTTGTGGTGTAGTACAACCTTCCCTTAAAGCCTCTCTACTAATGGCACTTATGTTTTACTGTTGGAAATATAGGTGGTAATCTGAAGGTGGATTTTCAACTCAGCGAACTTTAACAAATTGAGGATGTTTCAAAAACCGCTAATTTTTTCGTGCATTCATGCGTAAATGTAGTAGTTCAGTACGTTAACGATCTCTCATTCTTTTAAGTCTGCTTTAGCGCCTGCAGTTTTGCACAATTTTTATCACTTACAATTTTCGTATAGCCTTCAATTTGTCTTTTCAATTACACTTTGATGCATGTCGTGAGCGATTCATTTCCCTTAAACAGACTATAAGCATCAGATTTGTACTTTTTTACCAAATAATTTTAGTATGTCGCTGTGGCCATTTTCATAACTCATTGTTATAATCTCAGTTAAATGCTACCCATGCTTTTTTTCTAATTAGAAGCGTTCAGACGCAAAAAAAATAAGAAAATCAAGTTGTGAATGGCGTCATTTGCTCTGATACTTTACTTGCTACCCTCACTTGCACTC